TGTTGGCTCTCTTCCTACAGAGAAAGAACTAGAATTCTAACTATGCAAAAAACATGTCCTAAGCAGGTCTTTTCCCAGTAATATTTTACAGTCAAATATAAGACCAAAGCAAAAAATAATTTTCCCTGCCTTCCCAAATCCCAATACTTAATAATTTATGTCATGCTTCTGAAGGTGTTAGGTCTGCTGCATAGATGGAATGAGTCAATGGGCATAATTGTCATTCAGGGAAGAGGAGGAGAAGGGGGGAAGAAAGGAAGGAAGGAAGGAAGGAAGGAAGGAAGGAAGGAAGGAAGGAAGGAAGGAAGGAAGGAAGGAAGGAAGGAAGGAAGGAAGGAAGGAAGGTGAGCAGAGATGGTAACTATATGACCAATAAAAACAAGTATACTTAGCTAAAATAAAATTAAAATAAAATAAAATAAAATTACAAAGTCTTGTAATTGCCTCACAGATCCAAAATCTATGTAAGGTTTTGTAGCACCATCACTGTGTTCATTTTTATTCCTCTTCTAGAAAATAGATAAAATAGATATTATTATTATTATTATGGATCATCGCACAGTCAGCCAGATGTTCAGACTGGATTTGGCATTTTGTCTACCTATCGAGTCCTTACCCAGAACCTGGGATAGGCAGATGTGGATGTTTGATGGTATTACAGATATCGTCACAGGATGGAAGCAGTTCCTAGTAAGGCTGCCTTTTGCAATTGACTAATAGCGAATTTGTCAATGCCAATGGTGTTCAAGTGGTGCTCTAGTTGTTTTGGGATTGCACCCAAGGAGCCTATTACTATTGGTACTACCCTTGCTTGCTTTTGCCACAGTCTTTCTATTTCTATTTGTAGGTCTTTGTATTTTGTTATCCTCTCCATTTCTTTCTCGTCTATTCTGCTGTCTCCAGGCACTGCAACGTCCACTATCCAGACTTTTTTGTCTTTCTTATCGACAATTGTTGTTGTTGTTGTTGTTGTTGTTATTATTATTATTATTATTATTATTATTATTATCTGGAACACAGACAAAGCTGCACTGAAATTCCTTTCGTGTATAGCAAGAGTTTTTCAGATTGTTGTTGTTATTATTGTTATGCCTCTCCCAGAGGACACTTTCAAACAAAGATAATATAAAATAAAATAAAAATGAGCAATGTACCGTACACAAAATGAAAAAGAACAAAAAACATTATTCAACAAGGAAATACGCATAAATAGCAAACGTGGCTGTTCCACGGAGAGTTCCCTCCTTGCTCTTTCTCAGCGGCCTCACAGTGCCTCACAGCTGCAATTCCAGGGGATTAAGAGATATTAGGAAAGCATGAATTTGGGGTGATTCACTCGCAAGGATTCGTGTTTCATTGTTGGTTCAGTGCCATTCTGAATTTTGGGAAGGAATCTGAAATCAAAGTATTGTCACTCCTAACGCTCGATTGTTGTAAATTAGTGTTTCTCAACTTTGGCCACTTGAAAATGTCTAGACTTCAACACCCACGCTGGCTGAGGAATTCTGGGAGTTGAGGTCCCTACATCTTGAAGCTGCCCAGGGTTGAAAAACAGTGCCGTAAATACTTTACACAGCACTATTGTTTGCTTAATGTCACCCTCCAAGTTTAGGAGAACATCTGGTTTGTTCCATTTTGTGACCAGTTCTTTTTATGCTGTAGCTACAAACCTCCAGCTTCGTTTCCTCTTCTTATATCACTAATATGCCGCCTCCAGTAGACAGCGTCCCGCAAGCAAGATTAATAGTCCTGCAGCTTTGAAACGGCTGTGCCAAGCGTGACTCAATGAGCATTTCTTATCTTGGCTATCAGCAGCATGGTTATTTAAAAAAAAACAGGCATGGCCGCAATCAGGAGAAAAATGAATTTTTGAGGAAACAGAGCCATGACATAAAACTGGAAGGGACGTGGGAGGTCCTTTAGTCCAACCCTTTGCTCAAGGCAGGAGATCTTATACCATCCCGGTCAAATGATTTTCCAGTCTATTTTTGAAAACCTCCAATGATGGAGCACCCACAACTTCTAAAAACAAGCTGCTCCATTGATTTATTGTTCTCACTGCCAGGAAATTTCTCCTTAATTCTAGATTGGATCTGTCTTTGATCTTCCATCCATTACTTCTTGCCCTGCATTGGAGAATAGGTCGATCCCTCTTCTCTGTGACAGACCCAAAATCTGGGACAGCAAAAGGCAATTGTTACATTCTCAGAACATGCCCTGTTCAAACCATCTTATCAGGGTTTGACACCACGGTCTGTTGAGACAGAATAATAACAGGGTTGGAACAGACCTCCAAGATCTTCTAGACCAGTGGTTCTCAACCTGTGGGTTGGGGTCGAACGACCATTTCACGGGGGTCGCCAAACAACACAGTCCGCCATTTTTTTCCCCTTTTCCTTAGCTGTGCTACTCCCTTTTATTCTATTGGCTTTTGAAAGCCAATAGAATAGACTCTCTTGAATAGAGTCTAATTCTATTGGCTTTCAAAAGCCAATAGGAATTGTCCAAGCTGTCTCTGCCCTGCTGAGCCTGCCAAAAGTCCCATTCTGCAAACGGTGCTGCAGCAGTTGAGTAGTCCTTGACTTACGACCGGTTGAGTAGTCCTCGACTTACGACCGGTTGGGGGTCGCGGCATTAAAAAGGTTGAGAACCACTAGTCTAGACCAATCCCCTACTCAAGATGGAAACCCTATACCATTTCAGACAAATGTTGTCCAATTAAAAACCACCGGTGATAGAGCACCCACAACTTCTGGAAGCAAGCCATTCCACTGGCTAATTGTTCTCACTGTAATGTAAGCTAAGTTTCCAGGTCAGAGAAGTCAGTCAGATAGACACTAAACTGCCAGATAGCTTCAGAGTTGTGAAGCTCAAATCAGAGTCGGAGAAAGCATGCCGGTTTATTTATTTATTTTCAAATTTATATAGCCACCATCTACTCAGGGAAGGGAGCTTGCAAGCAATGAAACTCAATATAAAAGCAACAAAAGGAACAATGCAATTTTAAAAAAAGACAAAATATTAAAGCATATTAAAAATTCATTATAAAAAGCCTAAAATTCATAAGCGAGGCAACAATAAAACACTCTTAACAATATCTCTCAATATAACTGCTGTACTGGCTCCTTCTTGGTCGCCATGCCTGTTGGCCGAACCGCATTTGCAGGATCTTTTGAAAAAGCCAGCAAGTATAAATTAATCTCTGGGGGATAATAGCAATAGCATTTAGACCAGTGGTTCTCAACCTTTTTAATGCCGCGACCCCCAACTGGTCGTAAGTCGAGGACTACTCAACCGGTCGTAAGTCGAGGACTACTCAACTGGTGCAGCTCCATTTGCAGAATGGGACTTTTGGCGGGCTCAGCAGGGCAGAGACAGCCTGGACAATTCCTATTGGCTTTTGAAAGCCAATAGAATTAGACTCTATTCAAAAGCCAATAGAATAAAAGGGAGTAGCACAGCTAAGGAAAAGGGGGGAAAAATGGCGGACTGCATTGTTTGGTGACCCCCGTGAAATGGTTGTTCGACCCCAAATGGGGTCCTGACCCACAGGTTGAGAACCACTGATTTAGACTTATATACTGCCCTGTAACATTTCACAGCATTCTCTGGGCAGCTTAGAATGTAAGCATTATTTGCATATTGCCCCCAGCAAGCTGAGTCCTCATTTTACCCACCTCGGAAGGATGGAAGGCTGAGTCAACCTTGAGCCAGTCAGGATCGAACTTCTGACTGTGGGCAGAGTCAGCCTACAATGTTGCATTGTAACCACTGGGAAGGAAGGAAGGAAGGAAGGAAGGAAGGAAGGAAGGAAGGAAGGAAGGAAGGAAGGAAGGAAGGAAGGAAGGAAGGAAGGAAGGAAGGAAGGAAGGAATAGCACTTAGACTTATATGCTGTTCCACTGTGCTTTTACAGCCCTGTCTAAGCGGTTTACAGAGTCAGCCTGTTGCCCCCAACAATCTGGGTCCTCATTTTATTGACCTCAGAAGGACAGAAAGCTGAGTCAACCTTGAGCTGGTCAGGATTGAACTCCTGGCAGTAGGCAGAGTTTGCCTGTAATACTGTATTTTAACCACGTCACCACCAGGGCTCCCTTGATAGATATTAATTGATTGATTAGTCTCACAAGCATATCAAAAATATAAAACAAAATAAAATATAGGATATTAATCCTGGGTAAAGTAGATAAAAAGAAAATCCAGTAATAAAATATATATATCTTGAATATAAAAAAAATCAACATTCAGGTAAATGCATCCCTTTCAACCCTCTGATTCTGTGTTCTACGAATAAACTTATTCTTCATTCATTTAGCTAGGCCCCTTTTAAACTGAGGCATCCCTGCATTCTGCGGTCCAAAGTTTAACGAGGTTCTGTGTCAAGAAATGTCTCTTTTATCTTTTCTGAATCTTGTACAGTTCACAATGACTCCAACTGTGCTGCGATGAATGGGTTGCACTATCCGCTTTCTTCAGGTCGTGCGTCATTTCGTACAATTCGATCGTTGTGTTCCTTTCTCTTATCGGCCTTTTCTAAGTGGAAAAAAGGCTAAAGCAGCACAACCTTTTCTCAGAGAATTGTTCTCGTTTGTTGACACTGCCTTTCCCTGGACCGTTTCTTACACAATAGGCTATATTTTCACTTCCTTTTCCAAAGTGTTTTTGTTTTGTTTTGTTTTGTTTTACATTACCAAACACAAGCTAAACACATATAATAATTCTCCCATTCTCTATTGAGAGAATATTACTGAATGATGTCACTAAAACTCCTGTTAATGCAGTTCTCAGAAGCTCTAAAGCAGGGGTCCCCAACCCTCAGGCTACAGCCCCTTGGGAATTGAGGCTCCATTTGTGCAATTCTGCCGACTGCCAGCAGTTCAATCCTGACCAGCTCAAGATTGACTCGACCTTCCATCCTTCCAAGGTCAGTAAAATGAGGACCCAGATTGTTGGGGGCAATAGGCTGACACTGTAAACCATTCAGAGAGGGCTGTAATGTACTGTGAAGCGGTACGTAAGTCTACGTGCTATTGCTAATGCTACCGTTAGTACCAGTCAACTTAATGGTCCTTCACAACTCAAATGTAATTGGCAATTTGATTGGAAGATGCAAGGGAGGGTACAGAAAAAATCCATTAGACTGAAGAAGTAACACCAATTTTATTTCAGGGAATAGTTACACATCTTGAAAGGTTAAAGAAAACATGTGGCATAAAAATGTACAAAAGGCAATTAGGAACGCTTATATAATATATAAATAGAGAGCAAACCCCACTCCCTTCTTGCACTGATGATGTTACCTAGTTGGGTAATGAAACGTCTGCAAGAAAACAACCAAGCTCAGAGAGCACCACAATTTTGATTCCTTCTGCAGGGAGTAAGAAGAGAAGGTTCATGCAAGCATCACCTTATTTCTCCATTAAGCTTACAATATTCAGTGATTTTTATGATCAATTTTTATTTTTATTATTAAATGTATATGCCACCCATCTGACTATCAAGTGACCCTGAGCGGCTTACGATATCATAAAAAGCAATGTTAACAATTAAAAATTAGAGATATTAAAAGATTAAGTATTAAAATTAAAACATTTACATGAACAATAAACCAGACACAATGATCTGAGCATGGAACCTCTTTCCACTTGGAAAAAAAATGGAATGAGAAGACGCAGCAAGGGCAGGACACACAAAGGTATTGATTCCTAGATGATAGATTATAATTTACGAAGAGAATCACATTCTTGCCTGAGGACTGGAATCCTATTAGAATTCTACTTTAGCCTGCTTTTTCCAGCGCGGACATCAAGCTCAAGAAGTTAATTCCATCTTTTGGGATCTTTTTCTCTGCACAGCTTTTTCTTCCGAGCTATTCAGTTCTCATTCTTGCCACTAGATGTCAGGAAAGACCGGAGTTTTCCCACGCAAACTTTAATTCCTCGGAAACTAAGCAGGAAAATCCACATTGCCACTTTTCTTTATAGCACTTCAGGGTGTCTTTCTTTCAGGGTTACTTCTTGGAAGGAAATCCCAGAACGTTCGCACACATGCACATTACTCCTCTCAAGAGGAGAGGTTGGTGACGAACTGAAGAATAGAATCTGCCAAAACTGCAGATGGCAACATGAACCTGAATGAAAGAAATTAAAGAAAAGAACCTACCCAGTTTGGTTTCTGTTTAGAAACTGTTTCTGGATTTTACCCTCAAAAGAGAGAGGGGAAAAAATAAAACTTTGATTTTAGGTTTTGATGATTAAATTAACTCTATTGTTACAGAACTGGCTGGCGCTTGCTAAATATGTACAACAAAAAGTTACGGTTGCAATTGTATTTTGTACTTTACTGCATTGGAAAAAAGTTGGAAGCCATTGCTTTTTCCCTTCCCTCCTTACCTTTCCCTTCTATTCCTTATTATCTTTGTTATCATTTGTATTCTATATTACAGTGGTGGCGAACCTATGGCACGCGTGCCAGAGGTGGCACTCAAAGCCCTCTCTGTTGGCACGCGCGCCACCGCTGCCAGCAGTAGGTCCATCAGGCCACCACCACTGCCCGGAGCAGGAGCCCCGCCCAGCACAAAGGTGGTGGTCGATTGGCAGACCGGAAGAAAAGGGAGGGGGCAGTATTTTACATGTGCGTGTGCACGCAGGGGGCCGTGAGTATGCACGCGCTGCAAATGAGGCGGGGCTAGTGCCTGCATGATACTCACTAGCCCTGCCCCATTCTTGCTTGGTGCAGCGCCTTGTATCTGCACCCCGCAGAGGTGCAGAGGACTTTTCTTTCCACACAAGATCTGCATATCGCACAAATACAGCCTACAAGTAGTCCTTGACTTGAAACCATTTGTTTAGTGACCATTCAAGGTAACTACGGCATTGAGAAAAGGTGATTTGTGACTCTTTTCACACTAGCAACCATGGCTGTATCCCACTGGTCATATGATCCAAATTCTGGCGCTTGGCAACTGGCATGTATTTATGACAGGTGCAATGTCCTGAGGTCATGAGGGTCACCATTTGTAACTTTCCCAGCTGGCTTCCAATAAGCAGTGGGGGAAGCCAGATTTGCCCACAATTGTGTGATTCACCAAACAAATGCAGTGATTCATTTAATAAAAAAAAAAGTTGTAGAATGGGATGCAACTCACGTAACAACCATCTTGCCTGGCAATGGAAATTAACTGTGGTCATAAGTCAAGGACTACCTGTATATATCTATCTGACCTAATTCAGTTTGTGCACTGAATACTGCCAATATTTTTCTATATTTCTTTCTAGCAGTGCAGAAACAACTACGGAATTTGTCCAGAATCTAAACTCCCAATAATCTCAGCATCTCAGATTTTTGTTTCATTTTCTGTCCTTTAAAATTGAAGGAAGGAAGAAAAGAAAGAAACCTCTAGCCCTTAGGAAAAAACTATCTACTGAAGCCTCAGAAGTTCTAGAATGGTCGACGGGCATGATTTTCAGAATGTAAGGGCGAAAGGCTGATTCTTCTTTTAACCCTCATCTGCCACTCTAGCTGGCAACACCAAAGTTACAGTGAATAATTTTAAAAGGGGGGAAGGATAAATGAGACAAAAATAAAGATATCCTATGAATTTGTTCAAGGAAGCATTGCTTTCCTATGTATTTGAAGACGCAGACTTTTTCTTTGCTTATTTTATATGCACTTGCAGCTCTGCGCAAATCCTTTGGGGGATTCTGATCGTAGTTTTGGCTTAAAATCCTCAGCTACTAGAAGCAGTGGCAAAAGCCCCTGGAGCATGACTTCAACTTAGCTCAAAGCAGTGACGAGAAACAGACAGAGGCCAGGGATGGAAGGAGCAGTAAAGAGGACCATCTCCGACTCCCTCAAATGAAATTGTCCCACCGTCGTTTCTGGCCCACCATCTTGGCCATGAGAACGAATGCCAACCCAGTGAGAAGTTCAGAAGCGATGGAGACCCAGGCAAAGGCCAAAGACCAGCCAAACTGGATGTTGAGATTTTCCAAGAGATTCTTCCTCCCCAGAAAAGATGCAACCTCCTTGAAGATGGCCGCGGAATAAGCAATGTAGATGCTGACCCCAAGGAGGGTAGCGAGAGCTAAAAAAAGGACACAAACAGAGTCAGAGGCATCCACATTCAGAACACTCTCCATAAGGGTCTAGGACAGTGGTTCTCAACCTATGTGCCTCTTCATTTCAACTTGTTATTAGAGTAAGAGGGGGGGAGAGGTGTTGCTTTAGAATGGGTTAGATGAAGAAACGAAACCTCTGCAATTCTGCTTAAGACCATGAGAGCCTGAAACCTTTCCAAGGACACTACAGCAGGTGTGGAGAGGAAGCAGACGGTTCCCATAACAAATTGGAAATTTGTTTACATAGACTATGTGAGAGAGTGAGAATGTGGCTGGAGAAATTACTGTTTAATTCTATCAACTGGTATCTGGGAACCTCAGTTTTGCTTCAACATTACCATGCTGTGTATTCAATAAACAGTAAGATTTTTGGAAACTGAATTAATTTGGAGTTTTTATTTGGATTCTTGAGCCAGATGATGACACATACCTCCTAGAAGAAAGAGCACCCCGGTGAACAGCAGAAGGCAGAAGGCTTGCGTGAAGATGCTAAGGATACCCGCCATTCCTCCAAAGACTATGAAGATGAGGCTTAGAGGCAACAGGATCACAAATGCCCCATGCAGGTCTGGAAGGAGAGAGAGGCAATCACTCACTTCTGGAGTCACTTCCCATTGCAATCCAGCCATAATACATTTAGCTGCAAATGGCACAATTTCTTCTCTTTTGCCCTTGATTCATTTTCTTTGTATTCCCCCTTGTCTGAATATTTCAACTGAAAAGCTTTGGGAAAAGCAGCTCAATTTGATTGGTAAAATTCCATACCCAGGATTGTAGAAGTAACATGGCTTCCTTACATCAAAATCCAATGGTTTATGCTGATAAAAATGTAGCCAAGACAAAGTCATGGCTCAGTGAAAATTGGAGGGGGAAGGCAGGGACACATTAGGGGCTCAGAGAAAACTTGACTAAGAATGGCATGAATCTGTTCAGAAAAGACTTTTGGGATTCACAAAACACTGAATGAAATCAGAGACTTTGTATTGGATTCACACATGTTAAATCGAATTGAACTTAATTGGGGTTGGTTGGTTAGTTGATGAGTTGGGTTTTGGGCTGTATATTGCATGAATCAAGATTGTTGAATCAATAAGCCCAGAATCCAGATGGCCCAGCTGAAGCTCACTGTTTAAACACAGCCATTATCACACAGAATGCAGAGTAGAATGATTTCTTGGTTTTTTATTTGAAAGCCAGGAAAGTCTAGAGTAGTCTGACTGCCAGCAGTTGCTAGTTTGTTTAGTTCACGCTGCCGCACTATCCAGGGTGCACCAGGAGGAGACGAACTAGCTTCACACAAACATGGAGTCTACTGGGACTCTCTGTATAAATGGGGCATAGTATCCTCCCCTCAGTGTAACCGTGGGGTCCCATGTCAAACTGTGGATCACACTGTGACCAGCTGTAAGTTGAGAGCATATACTGGTCCAATATCTGATTTTCTTGATATAAATGACACTGCGCTTCAATAGTTAGATGGCCAAGACATTGATATTCAAACATAGATCTTTTTAACATTTATACTAATCTAGTTGAAATGTTAATTTACATTGCTAGTCCATGTATGATATGCCATAGGCTAAATAAATGCACTTATAGTACACTTGACAAGGGGCTAGGGTGGCTGCCTCTTTCATTGGGTATGCATTGGTGTTGCAGACGTGCCCACATGAACTAATCCACTGATTTGGGAAACTCAGCTAATGCTCCAGAGGGGGTAGCAGCAAAGTCATCTGTGCTTCTCACAACAGGACTTTAACAACCAGCCAATTACAGGAAGAGCCTTTTCCGCAATTGCAGCCCAAATCTCAGGAGTGCAAGGCTTTTGGGCTCAAATACTGTTTAATTTCAAGATGCTAGATTGCATATCTGCACAAACAAATAAAAAGCAAAGTACGATCCCAAATCCTCTGGCTGGGTCTTTCCATCTGAGTAAACACGGGGCTGCATTTAGCCAAGCACCTTGGACAGCAGCTGCTTTTGTTTGCAAGTTCTCCTTGCTGCACCGAGATAATCATTAACCACTAATGGATAAGCTGACATTCCTGGAAGCTTTCTCCAGTGTCCTAGGAGCCCTCAACATGGTGGCTTTTATTGTTGGCTTTGTTCCCATGCAATTGCTTTTCCATTTGTCTTCTCTGACCCATCACCCCAAGGCCATTGTCCTACCAGCTGCCCAAACAGAAGGTTGCCAGGTGCCTCTCCGTAGCTTTGGGCTTCTCTTAGATGTGGTCTTCCAAGAGTGATCAGGACTTATGCTTCCAATTGCTTTATTTCCTTCTGTAACAGCCCCATCGCAGGTAGGGCAACCTACAGCAGTTCCTACTTACCTCTGAACGGGAATGAAAGGCAGCTGATGCATTCAGAATAACAGAGTTAAAGGGAACCTTGGAGTTCTTCTAGTACAATCTCCTGCTCAAGCAGGAAATCCTACACCATTTCAGACAAACGGTTGTCCAATCTCTTCTTAAAAACTTCCAATGTTGCGAGCATCCACAGCTTCTGGTGGGAAGCTATTCCCTCCAGGTTAATTGTTCTGTCAGGAAATTTCTCCTTAGTTCTAGGTTGCTTCTCTCCTTGATTAGTTTCCATCTGTTGCTTCTTGACCCCCCTCTTCTTTAGATATTAGATATCATGTCACCCTTGTCCTTCTTTTCATTAAACCAGACATACATTTTCCCAAAGACACAGAAAGTACCACTGGAGAAGGAGGAAGACACAGTCCTATTTGTGTCATGTTGAAAGAAGTACCCGGATGTTCTTCACACGTATAATCGCCCTTGTTTTTCAATGGGTTAGCCACAAAGCCCAGAAAAATACCTAATGTTCATTTATTTACAGGAAAGGAAGGGAGAGTTTTATTGTGATAAGAACAGCAAACTGATTCATGTTGGACCCCTTTTACAATTCATGTTGTACCCCTTTTATAGCATGTCTACAAGCACAAGATGTTGCCCAGAGTGTACTTATCTATCTATCTCTGTCCTGCCTGCTTTCAAATTTTATACGCTCACAATAAAACAAATGAAAGTTGTCTGGCTATAAAGCAAAGACTTTCACCAACTGATTAATGGTTGGCCTACCAAAGTAGTCATCTTGAGACTATATAACCTGCTCTTTTGGGCTGTTTGGGGAGAATGTCTATCATCTGCTTTCTGACTTTTCAAAAGACTATTTACCAGAATGATGTCACAGCTTAGGGAAAATTGAATGTGCTGTTATATAGAAGAGAAATCCCTTAGAGGCTAGTCTCTCATTTATATTTTGAAGGTTTCTACCTGAGAATTAAAAGCTGCCTTGTTAATTAAGCAGTTGAAGAATTTTCCCCCACAATTTTGAGTGGACTCGGGTTTCATAACGAATAAATTTTATAACCACGTTGTTCTTATTCAATAGAAATTGCTGATCATCATCATCAGCCAAATTCCCTTTTTTAAAATTGACTTCCAGTGGACATATTTCCATGGAGAGCAGAGACAATGACTGTAGCAAAGACTAAAAAACCAATGACTAGACTGGTTCTTCAAAGTCTCTCTGGATAAGAGAGAGGCTAAGAGATTTCCCAGATTTGCTCCAGACAAGTCCTTATAAGGAGTCCACAGGGCAGCAGTCTCTGCAGATTTGAATGGCAGGAAACAAAGGAATCAACCATTAAGCTCAGAACCAGTGGTGGGATTCAGCCATTTCTCACCAGTTCAGCAGAAGCGATAGCTAATTTTTTGTTGCCCAGGCCCAGAATGGACTTCCGGAAGCAGCATCCACACAGAGAACCGGTTGTTCCCATATTTGAATCCCACCACTGCTCAGAACCATGGAAATACCTTTAAAAGGATGCTAATGGAAGCTGACTATTTATTTTGGTTAGTTTGGAAGTTTCCTACTTAAACTGTCGTAAGGCTGTTCAAAATCTTTGGAACTTATAGAAAAAATAAAATACAAGTTTAAGAACGTAAACAATCAATATTATTTATTTATTTCACAGATAAAGGTATTATTTATTTATTTATTATGCATTAAAAATAAATAAATTTATTATTAAACAAACGTCAGAAAGACAAATAAGCTTGGGAACCAGGAAAGTTATAAACTAATTAAGGGACCAGATAACATGGAAATATTGAAACTTTTACTGTAAGAATTTGGAACTAACTATATAAAATAAATGCCTTTTGTTGGAACTAGAATTATTTGGTTTGTTGTAAATCATAACAGATTAGAAATCCCATGATTAAAATTGGACATCAGAGGGGAGTAAGATTCAAGAACAAGAAAAAAAAACCCCTGCCTTTGGTTTTGATTGGGATTTACAAACTGACGTGAAACATATAACATTTGAAATATTAAAGGAGATCTTCCAAAAAAGGGGGCCAAAAATCAGTAGCACAACATCAACAGTTGTGCTACTGGAATGGTTGCTGGACTTGGGTATGTCTAGTTTAACAAAGAGAAGGATGAGGAGGGACATGATAGCAGCGTTCCAATATCTCAGGGGCTGCCACAAAGAAGAGGGAGTCAAGCTACTTTCCCAAGCCCCTGAAGGCAGGACAAGAAGCAACGGATGGAAACTAATCAAGGAAGAAGCAACCTAGAACTAAAGAGAAACTTCCTGACAGTTAGAACAATTAACCAGTGGAACAACCTGCCTCCAGAAGCGGTGAATGCTCCAACACTGGAAGTTTTTAAGAAGAAACTGGATAGCCATTTGTCCGAAATGGTATAGGGTTACCTGCCTGAGTAGGGGATTGGACTTGATGATCTCCAAGGTCCCTTCCAACTTTATTATTATCATTATTATTATCAAGTAAGGATGTCTGCTTCTATGGGCAGACTACGTTGAAAGGATGTTAACGAAGAAATAGATGTGAAATGAATCTTGCTTGATGCAGAAATAGTGCAATCAGAATTATATTTTTTTTAAAAAGTGTAATTCACCTTCCACAAGTGTGAATCATTATTGCTGCACTTCAAGGCACTCAGATAACAGCTTTATTTCAAGAGCTGTATTGTTTGCCAATTAGCTTCCAAGTGCAATATAAGGTGCTGATTGCCGCCATTAAACCCTTTGTCTGTTCCAGACTTTTTTCCTGAGGGACTGCCTTCTTCTCTTCATCTGACCATCCAATCAGATTAAACGGGATCATCTCCTTCCAGGTTTCTCGCGTGAGACTTCCACCCAACAGAGCCTTGGAAGTGAGTGTCCTCAGTGGCTATTATATTTATATATAAAAAGGAACAGGCTTCTATTACATAATCATGGCAGCCATTTTGACTTTTTGGATCCCCGCTCATGGAGATCTTTCTTAGAGTTTTCTAACAAGTCTCAAACTGAGCAGCTTCTGCCTTCAAAAGAACTCTAAGTATTCTTCCCAGTAAATAAAACACTGGCGTTGGAGGGCAGAGTTGATAGACAGTGCTGATTTCCCTGTATGGCAATTGCTATCAGAAAATACAACTTAGAAGCTACTTACACAGGACATTCTTACGTGAGGTGGTCATGTTTGCTGTCTTAGATTTGAATGGGTTGACCATAGGGAGGCAAGTCCTGTTAACTGCAAGAAAACGGGAAACCATCAGACATCTGCTCAAAGTACGGTTTCAGTCAACAATTTCCCATAGATTAATCAACTTAACCTTCGAGTTGATTAGCCTGGCAATTAAAACAGAAGCCATGAAATGTAGCCCCAGCCACCCAAATGTTCTCTACCTCATTATTAGAAGTGTTAGCATGTCGTGTGGATGTGTATTGTCCAAAGTTCTTGCATTCGGCCACGGCATTTATAAAAGAACCTAGCTGTAATAGTTTGAGAAATGGCATAGTTGAACTTTTGCTGATTTGAACAAGAACTATAGGGTTGGGTTGGCCTGATCAGCTTATAGCGATTAGCCCATTTTCTGATATTTCACAGTCTACTGAACCATAAATAAACATGGTGATGGAAAGTGTTCAAAGGTGACTGTTTATATTGTACTAGTAAGACCACACTTGGAACACTTGAGTCCAGTTTTGGTCACCATGTTTATGTTTATTTATTGATTAGCCCTTGGGCCATATCAAAGTACAAAGTTCCAGAAACCAATTATTACTAAAATTTGATAAAAGCAATTTAAAATGAAATGGGAATAAAATAAAATGAAATTGGAATAGAATACAATAATTTAAAATATAGATAAAATATGACAAGATTCTATATGATAAAATATGATAAGATGATTAGGGGACTGGAGGCTAAAACATATAAGGAACGGCTGCTGGAATTGGGTATGTCTAGTTTAATGAAGAGAAGGATGAGGGGGGACATGATAGCAGTGTTCCAATATCTCAGGGGCTGCCACAAAGAAGAGGGAGTCAAGCTATTCTCCAAGTCGCCTGAGGATAGGACAAGAAGCAACGGGTGGAAACTAACCAAAGAGAGAAGCAACTTAGAACTAAGGAGAAACTTCCTGACAGTTAGAACAATTAACCAAGGGAACAACCTGCCTCCAGAAGTGGTGAATACTCCAACCCTGGAAGTTTTTAAGAAGAGACTGGATAGTCATTTGTCTGAAATGGTATAGGGTTTCCTGCCTGAGCAGGGGGTTGGACTCGATGACTCCAAGCTCCCTTCCAACTTTTTTATTGTTGTTGTTGTTGTTATTATTAGTATTAGTATTAGTATTATTTCGGTGTCACCCCTGCAAATCTACCCCAATCAGTCCCACATATGCAGACCTCAACTGAACCATTTTTGCTTAAATACTGTGCTGCGTTAAATGTTATTTTCAGATACTGGCTGGACAAAAAGTAAGTTGTTTTGATATGGGGATCCCAACGGGTTGTTCACCATGATACAAAAAGAAATACTGAGACTATAAAAAGTGCAGAGAAGAGCAACAAAGATGATAAGGAGTCTGGAGGCTAAACTGTACAGTGAACTGTCCCAAAGATGCTTTTTCACAAGGCAATTGGACTTACTTGTTTTTCCTTTGAAGATGTTTCTCTTCTCATCCAAGAAGCTTCTTCAGCTCTTCAGCTGAAGTCCAGTTGCCTTGTGAAAAAGCATCTTTGGGACAACTATGATCTGAATGACTGAAAATCTCCATAGATGTATATGATGAACTGTTAAAGGAGCTAGGTACATGTAGTCTAATGAAGAGAGGGATCAGGGGGGACATGATAACTGTATTCCAGTATTTGAAGGGCTGTCACAGAGAACAGGGGCTTAATCTATTCCCCAAAGCCCCTGAAGGCAGGACAAGGAGCAATGGATGGAAACTAATTAAAGAGAGAACCAACCTAGAACTAAGAAGAAATTTCCTGACAGTGAGAACAATTAATCAGTGAAATAGCTTGCCTCCAGAAGTTGTGGGTAGTCCATCACTGGATGTTCTCAAGAAAAGATTGAACAACCATTTGGGGGGATGTTATAAAGACTCCTGATTTGGGCAGGGGGTTGAACTAGAAGACCTCCAAGATCCCTTTCAGCCCTATGACTCTATGTTCTATGTTCCTACAACAAATCTAGTCATATGGACCATTTATTGTTCCGTCTTTTCAGTTTTAGTACACTATGTTATTTCAATACAGTAATAGTGCTATAATGTACTTAATATTCTATTATTGAGGTGCTGTAGAATATTGAACATAATGGATATTCTATCATTATTCATTACAGTTTTGGGTATTAATGTTTTCAAGCATTATGATGATTTCTAAATGACATACTTCGATTTAACAGACATTAAAAGAAAATAACTCTCCTTTCTCTAAAGGTAAAACTGAACTTTGCTGTGTTAAACACCTTTGAACATTTCAAAATTGGAATGCTCCTTGTCTGTACAATAATGGTAAAAATAATTCATGAAATGTACAGTATTTGCTGCCCATCCAGAGACTCTGGGCAGTTATATAACCCATTCGTATAAAATATAAGTGTTCATTTTTCTCATTCACAGTTGCTCAAAATGTCTCAGTTGAAACTTAGAAGACATGGCCTTTCAAAATCCTCAACTGAATATGTGAAGAAAATGGATCTCTGAATTCTTGCAGGGAAAATACACAGTCCTCTTTAAGTGGTGGTAGCTGCAAACAGATGCTTGGAAGAAATTTCTACCTTTAATCTCCTCTAAGGATTTGCAGAGGGTTACACAATAAAAGACAAGACATATACACACATTTCCGGGCCACCTTGTCATTAAACAGGCACCCATTCATTTTCTCTCTCCCCCAGGACAAATTCTCCAAAATTCTCTTCTCCTTCCAAATAACTTCCATGCTAACTTCTCTTTCATCAGACTAAATCATAACAGTACAGCGCGATTTTTGTTAACTAAGCCTTGACAGTATTAGAAAAGCCATGAGTTCAGATGAATCTTTTTTGAAATGAAACTATAGTCATGGAACCTGGTAACTGTTAGGCTAAAGAAGGGAATGAAATAGCGGGTTAGAAGCTTGTGTAAGTTCAGGAGAATTTACACGTTTGTGTCCTCCTGTGACAAAATGACACCGGAAGCTTTTAAAGCTTTCTCCTTATCGGAATACAAAAATTTTCTCCTTTCACATTAAAGGTATCCATTAACCACATTGTTGGACCACTTGGGAGTCTAGCCTTGGGAAAGGGTCATAGCCAATTAAATATGCTGGTTACTTGCAACCCCCCCAACACCAACTTGCCAGGAAACCCTGGATGTACTTACATTGGCAGGTCCTCCAAAGTCCTCTATGGGACTTCAAACTACCTGTATGGTTGGTTAACTTCTCCAATCCTGAAGCATCTATTTGATACCAAAAGTCTGTGGCCAGGGCAGCCACCAGGAAGGTGAAACTTAAAACACCTGCCAAGACTGCAAACACAGAAACACCATTCAGTGTAACTTTCATGGTGAGGGGTTGCTATCTGCGTTGACCCTTGAGACTGGATGATGTTCTCCACTGCTCCTTAAGAGTAAGTGAACAAAATTGCTGTGGATATGTCTTGCGAGCCCACCTTCTGGAGTTCCTCTGGATGTCCAGTGTTCCTGTCTGCAGCGTTTCCTTAGTTTTATCAGTGTGTAATCCTATTGATAGTTCGATCATCTGCTAGTAGGTGTAGTCGTGGATGTAAACTGAATTCTGCCCCTTTTTCTTTATTTACTCTTCCCTTTGTGGTAGCTGATGCCCAGTTACTTTGGGAAAAGGGGAGGGTGTTGACTAGCACCGTCCCTCACATTTCATCCAGTTGTCATGTGATTAAGTAAATACGTAAGATACTCAGTGCTAACATTTCCTCTTATTTTGTTGAAATGCCAAACAAGCTCCCTCGTAGACATCAGGTCTTCTATTTTCCCCAGGCGTAGTGACATTGAAGGAAACGCAGAGGAGAGCAGCAATTCCCAGAACCATGGACAGCTCCTTAGGAGCGAATCGTGTGGGTCTTTGGATGGTAAAAGAGCAGGTCTTCCCCCAGAAAATCCTTGCTTTTAACTCTAGGAGGCATTTAGAGAACCCAATAATTGTCCTCCCCCATACATTCTTCACCATACACGCTCAAGAGAATCTTTGGGGTAAGTCTTATAACTATCCACTTGTGTCCTGAAAAAGCCAACCCCATACACTTTGTGCATTCCAAGAAGTGGTATGCAACTCCAATTCTCTAAAGCAGTGGTTCTCAACCTGTGGGTCGGGACCCCATTTGGGGTCGAACGACCATTTCATGGGGGTCACCAAACAACGCAATCCGCCATTTTTTTCCCCTTTTCCTTAGCTGTGCTACTCCCTTTTAGTCTATTGGCTTTTGAAAGCCAATAGAATAGACTCTCTTGAATAGAGTCTAATTCTATTGGCTTTCAAAAGCCAATAGGAATTGTCCAGGCTGTCTCTGCCCTGTTGAGCCCGCCAAAAGCCCCATTCTGCAAACGGTGCTCCACCAGTTGAGTAGTCCTCGACTTACGACCGATTGGGGGTCGCGGCATTAAAAAGGTTGAGAACCACTACTCTAAAGAGAAAAATAGAAACAGTGGGTGCTGATGAGCAAGTCTTTAGAGTTCAATTAGCTTCACTAAAAGGTCAATAGATTCAAGCTGCTTCTATTGACTTCATCATCTTGAGCTAAGGAGATCCATTCTCATCTGCTGTTAAATCAGGATTGCTTCCTGATCTTTTGTTCTATTTTCTCTCTTCTTTTATGGTAGAACATACTGAAAGGTGGTTGAGCTTCTGAGGTACGGTAAATCTTTTGTGACTATGTATACAATTTGGTTGGTAGGAGGAAGCTTAATCTGGTGGAATGTTAGAGTAGCCATCTACTTTAATTCCTTGTAATATATGAAGCAAAAAAAAAAAAAACCCTTTCTGAATGGTCCAGAGTTAAAGATAGGTGTTGTGCTTGTTGTAAGTTGTAAGGAGGAAAAAAATCTACTAACTGATATCGTTTTGGAACGCTTTTCTAATTTATTACCTAAAAATGATATTTGCATGGAGTTTATAAGTTATCAACATTTCAGAGTTCTATTTCCACATATCCTGAGAACAAAGAATTGGCCAATCTGTGAGATTTAGATTCTGAGCAACCAATTTCCAGCACTTTCTCATTTTGTAAAATATGATTTATTCTTCCCACCCAACACCTTACAGGAAAACTATTCCTGATGTTACTTTTATGCTTCGCTGTAAAAGGTTCTGTTGGACTTACCCTTTCAGATTTCAAGAACCAGAATCCACAATGAAGAGAAGCATAAACACATTTTGAAGCTATATGATGTTCACTGCATTGAATAAACCATAGCTCCATTTTGGATCCTGACAAATTGGCAGCTGCTTATTTATATTCACTATTTCTATACCACCACAGCTACACATCTCCAGGTGATTCACAATAGAATCATAAAATAATAACTACAACAAACATAAATATTTTAATAATTTTCTTCGTTAGACTAGATACCGTATATCAGGTTTCCTCAGTCATTCATCATATGGTTAGCCTCCAGATCCCTTATCATTTTTCCTGGTCTTCTCTGCACTTTTTCTAGGATCTCAACATCTTTTCTGAATCATGGTGACCAGAACTGGATGCAATGTTCAACAACAGCAATCAAAATTTCATCCATGCAACCCTGTTAACAAGGGTTCTAAGAGATAAGCACTGAATTTGCAATAGTGATAGTAACAAGTGTTACAAGTCACTTTAAGAAAAAGGAGCTACTTGTGAAAAATACCCCCACAACAAGAAAACTCTACTATGTAGAAAAGAAAAATAACCACTGAAAGAAAGAAAGAGAGAGAGAGAGAGAGAGAGAGAGAAAGAAAGAAAGAAAGAAAGAAAGAAAGAAAGAAAGAAAGAAAGAAAGAAAGAAAGAAAGAAAGAAAGAAAGAAAGAAAGCAAGCAGAGTATTCACAGTTGAGTAACCAGGTAGATTAAATGTAACCGTGCTCCATGTTCTTGAGATTGGTGGTCTTTATTAGTGAAACTAATACTGGTAGCCCTCAACCTGGGACTGTTTAAAGTTATGACTTATAATCAAGTTTCAAGATTTCAATATCACACACACACACACACACACACACACACACACACACACACACGTCATATTATTGCATTTTACATGCTTAGTAACCAGACTGCATTTATGGCCATTTGCAATGGCCTTCAGAGTCATATGACCATGATTTATGATAGGTTTGCTAGGAACGTAGTTTCTGGCAAAATCTGACCTAAACCAAACTATGGGTACACTTAACAACTGCCACAAGGTCATAAAAATGGGTCCAACTACATGGTGATCCACTTTATGACTGTCACAACTTACGACTGCAATTGCCAGGCTCAATTACATCCAAAGTTGAGGACCAGTTGTAAACTAGCTGAATCCAGAGGTTCTAGATCAGGGGTGTCAAATTTGCAACATCACATGACATGTCGCAATGTATCACAACTTTTTTTCCATTGCTGGCAATGGGGTGGTCGCAGTTTCAGCATGATGCATCCGGCCTGCGGGCCAACAGTTTGACACCCCTGTTCTAGATGCTGTACAACAGAGTATAAAGGAGAATATAAAATGAATATTGCAAGCAACAAATAAATTAATCATCAGAGATCTTGCACAAAAATCAGGTTTTATCTGTTCTCAAATACCAGGGGGGTATATAACCATGGAAGGGGATAGCAGATTCTGACGAGATCCACTGATTGCCAGTAGGGCTTTATCAAATGGTTTTGTAACATTGAAGATTACAAGAGAAGACATTACAAAAAAGCAATTAAAAAAAACAGCCAGCACAAGTACAATTTATCTCAAGATAAGAAGAAAATTAAATACAATCAGTCGGTACAATATTCTAGCACTCTAAGCAAATAGAAAAAAGCATAGATAATGATATTGCACAGAACACACGAGGAAGGAAGGTGAAATAGAGATACAGCTTAATAAAAGAATGGAAAATGAGAAGATCAGGATGATAGGTTTACAAAAGAGATGAGAACATCTGAGCACAGGGCAGAATCAGACCAAGGCCTCTTTTTATCCAATCTCTTGGTTCCACAGAAGATAACAATTCTGAAAATAGAACAGGGGTGGGCAATTAATTCCCAAGAGGCCACATGCAACACTGGAAGTGTTATGGGCTGAATCAATAGGACTGCTGCCGTCACAAACCAAACAAAAGTGTGGGATGTGGCCCATAGACCATTGAATGCCCAGGTCTGATATAGAATTATAGGACTGGAAGAGGCCTCAGAGATCTTCTAGTCCAACCACCTACTTAAAGCATGAGACTTACACCAGCCCAGTCAAATGTCTATCCAGTCTATTTTTGAAAACCTCCAGGGATGGAGCACCCACAACTCCAGGAGACAAGCTATTCCACTGATTACCTGTTCTCACAGGTAAATAAGGAAATTTCTCCTTATTTCTAGATTTGATCTCACTTTAATGATGCTCCACCTGTTACTTCTTGTCCTGCTCTCTTGTACTTTGGAAAATAAATCCATCCCGTTCTCTGGGATAGCCCCTCAAGTACTAGAAGACAGTTATCATGTCTCCCCCATCAGACTAAATCATTTTCAAATCATAAGAGATGCCCCTTGTAGGCAGAATATATTACCCAGATATAAAACTTTAATATTTTTTCTGATATCTAATACATGTTTCACCCCTCAAAATATGTTTATATTCCCATCTGCTGCAGAATATGGAGTATTTCTTTTTTTAAAAAAAAAGGTCTTGCAACTTTGCAAAAACCAACACATCTCCAGCACCTGCTTTTGTGAGCCACCGTGCACCTCATCATTTGAGGAAATAAGCTAATAAATAGAATGGTGTCCTATTAAATACATTAATTTTTAAGATTCCCTAGAACTTTTTGGTTATTTTTCAGGATTCCTTCTGCAGGCCAGGACAAAGAAGTCTATGTGGTTAGTTTAGAGCAGATTAAACTACAGTGCAATTGACTAACTTCTGTATGTTGCATGGTCTGTTTCCTCTGCTATGTGAATAAGACTAGCTGGGCATATTCAGTATATTATAGCTGAGCTAGCCATGGAATTATGTATCGTGAAAAGTTTTAATAAAATAACAAAGTTGTAAGGAACCTTGAAGGTCTTCTAGTCCAGTGGTTCTTAACCTGGGTGATATCGCCCCCCAGGGGGCGATTTCGTTTTTCAGGGGGGCGAAGGAACGAAAAGGGGGCGAAATGGGGGCGATGGAGCGAGAAATTTTGGGGACACTTTTGAGACTTTTTCGTACAGTGAATTGCTGTATATCTGTCATACAAAAACATCAGATCGCTCGCTATTAGTGGATTGAATTGTGTTTTCAAATGTTGCTCCAGCTAGCTTCAGTACAGAACACCGTACATATGTGAATACGCATTGTTTATCTTCATGTGTGTTGTGCAGCAGCCTCTACCCTTTTTATATTTCTTTTTGCATCTTAAATTTCACTTGTAATTCAATCATTAAATGTTACTGTTTTTTCTTTTCGGGCATTTCACTTTCTTGCAATTGAATTTTGTTTTCAGTGGTCATTACATTTAAGCGTCTTGAATAAATAAGATAATAATGAAATATATGTATCACGAAGTTTGGGAATAAAGTGACAGGTGGCATCAAAATTTTTCACACAGTTGAGATATGGGGAAAAGATTGGAAATAAATTATTTGCATCGCTATGTCCTGATGACAGTTTTAAAGAAAACAAAACAAGTGTTTGCATAAATTGAAGAATTATTTCCTATGGTGTGATTGAGAGGTTATGTTGGGGGAGGGAGGCGATGACAACTTCATCATTGGCTCAAGGAGGGCGATTTGTTCAAAAAGGTTAAGAACCACTGTTCTAGTCCAGTGTTTCCCAAACTTGACACGCTGGCTGTGGAATTCTGGGAATTGAAGTCCACATGCCTTAAAATTGTCAAGTTTGGGAAACACTGTTCTAGTCCAACCTCCTGCTCAAACATAGGAGACCCTAAGGACAAATGGCTGCCTAGTCTCTTCTTTAAAAAAAAACCTCCAGTGTTGGAGCATCACAACTTCTGACATATTGGACTTTTAATTGCAGCTAATGTAAACTGCCACAGCAATTTAAATCCCTGAAATATCAAAAAAGGAAAATAGAGATCCTAAGTGCCGCCATTTTGTTCAAGGGGGGGGGAGAACAT